CTGGGCATCTTTCTTCATTTAATTGCCATAATCAAACAGCTAGGAAATAAAATATGAGATTTTGACACAATCATCTTAGAAGACTTGTGAATCCACTCTATTGGAATTACTCCAAAATTCCTTCTTTTCATCTCTTTTTGCATAAAGTAGACTCACACGTCCTACAATCAAATATAAAGCAAGGTCTCAAAATTCTCTCAAAATAACAAATAAGTTATAACTAAGATTAGGTAAAAATATATATAATATCGACTGATCAAGTTCAACTGCCCAGGCTGTCACATCCCGGCCCGAGCTCCCACCACATCCCGGGCTCGACTCCACCATAGCACGATATTGTCAGCTTTGGGCCCTGACCACGCCCTCACGGTTTTGTTTCTGGGAACTCACACAAGAACTTCCCAGTGGGCCACCCATCATGGGATTGCTCTTGCCCGAACTCACTTAACTTCGGAGTTCCTATGAACTCCGATGCTAGTGAGCTCTGAAAAGGCCTCGTGCTAGGTAGGGATGGGAATATATATATATATATATATATATATATATGTATATATATATATATAAGGCTTACAGAATCCACTCTCCTGGGCGATGTGGGATGTTACACAGGCTTTGTGGATCCTCAGTGCTCTCACCATGTCTATAAGATGCATAAGGCACTATATGGTCTCAAACAGGCTCCCTGTGCTTCGTTCCAACACTTCAGTACATTTATTCTCCATCATGGGTTGGTACAAGTCATGGCCGATCCCTCCCTTTCCACCATGGTACGACTAATCTTATCGTATTACTTTATGTGTATGAGAATGTTGTATTAACTAGGAATAATTCTGTGGCACTCCAGCGCTTTATGGATCTTTTGAGTCATGAATTTGATATCAAAGACCTTGGTCATCTTCATTATTTTCTGGGTCGTGAGGTTCGTCATGCTTCGGTTTGTCTTCATCTCTCTCAGACTAAACATGCTCTTGATTTACTCAAATATGACTGATTGCAAACCATGCAGTACCCATATCTTCTCGTGCTTAATTAACTAATCAGGATGGTACTCCGCTTTCTAATCTTTCGGAATTTCGTCACCTATTGGGCTCCCTATAGTATCTCACTTTAACTCATCCATATATTGCCTTATGTGGTTAATCATATTTCTCATTTGAACATGGTAGTTATTTTCGACACTCCTTCGTCCCTCTTATGCTTCGTGGTTATTCCGATGTTGATTGGGCTAGGTGTCTAGATACTCGCCGCTCCACTTCAAAATTTTTAATTTTTCGTGGGCCTAATCTGATTTCTTAGAGCTTCACCAAGCAATCGACTGTCTCTCACTTTAGTGCCAAAGTCGAATCTAGGGCCTTGGCTCAAGCTTGTGGCATTCTTATGGTCACCATGAACTTCAGTATTTGGTATCTTCCCCACATTCTTATCTGTGATAACTTAAGCATTGATTACATGGCTGCTAATCTAATTTTTCATGCTCAGACGAAGCATATGGAGCTTAATTATCAATTTGTTTGTGAGCGGTGAAGCTTGGCAATCACAAGGTCCAGTTTTTCCTTCAATTGATCAACCTACGAATGTTCTCAACAAGAGTCTTCCCGGAATCGCAGTTCAAACTTCTGAGGTCCAACTTGTCGCTCCAAGGTTGCCAACTTTGGGGGGCCAGAGGGGAGGGGGGAGGGGGCAGGGGTGAAGTGGGATTATTTGTATAGGAGAATCTGATTAGGATTCTATTGGGCTAGGTCGCTTGACTAGTATATATTTGTTCTATTGTGATATTAATTGAATCAATACAATTACAATTCTACATTTTCCTATAATGTGTTCGTAGTTTGAGTTCAAATTCAAGTCCTTTTATACTTGGTAAAATACATTTTGATTATGTAAGGCCATCTTTGGTCTTAGAAGACTAAACGTAATCTTTGGCTATGTTTTAGTCATTCAAAAAACTAATATTTTAAAGAATGTTGTAGGGCTAAATTTTTCCATCTCTAGCAGGCTAAATCTTTCCATCTTGAGTTAAGATGCACATGCTACCACTGAGGTTCTTGAGGCTATCTCCAGTTATTGGGGGACTTTTAGGTCGAGTTGGTTTTGGGCTTTGCGGATGTTCTCTTGCCTCTCTTGGTTCGATTTTGTACCAAGTCTCGGAATATCTCGAAAGAATTAGCACGTCTTAGGCAATATCCTGATTAGATCAATGACTCAAAGATAGCATGATTACTCAAATAATGACTTGCTTAAGTGAGGCATGTGTGGAAGCTAGAAGCTTATTAGTTTAGCATGATAGAGAGTTTGCATGGTTGCATCTTGTTCTAGGTTGGGTAATTTGGATTTTCTAGGGTTCTAAGGAGGCTTTTGTTTACTAAAAGGGTTGAAGGAAGGTTAAGAAAAACCCTAAGGTTGCAAGAAGATGGTCATTTCAAAGAGCCAAGACTGTTTGCACTTTTGAGAGTGATTTTCCCTAGCTTGGTGTAGAACCTTGAATCCTCCCCTTAAATTATGTGTTACTTTTTCCCTTGTAAAGATGCCCCACTTTGTGTACTTATTTCTCCCCTTTTGTTGGTGAATGATGCCTTTCCAGGCTTCCTAGGGAATCTCTAATTATGGCTAGGTCTTCCTTCCTCTTTCTCCTAACATAACTGTGACCTTCCTTATTGATATAATGCAGATGAGCTATGTTGGCCTCGTGAAGACTGGGTTATGCCTGCTTCCCAAGGTGCTGCTTTCCCAAGTCAGTTTCTATAGGCGTTACTTTTGGTAACGCATCTCCTGGCTATCATGTGTCGTTCTTCCACGTGAGATAGGAAAGGAAAGTCAGCATCTCTCTTCATTAAATGCCTTTTTTTTTTTTTTTTTGGTTTTCACGTGAATTAAGACTTATGATTTGGTTCCTTCCTAACTAGATTGGTTGGCTTGCTAGGGAAAGAAGAAAACTAGGTTTGTTCTCTCTTAGACTTACCCATGTGGACTTCAAAGATTATGGGCCCCCAAGCAACCTAAGGTCTTCTATAATCTTGATTCCTCGTAAACTCGAAAAACTTTTGTAACCATTCACACCACAATTCACTCGGCAAGCTCCGAGCATGTGACTTGGGCTTATTTTAGCGCAAATAGTAGTTAGCGTAGTAAGCCATGGCGTGAGAAATATGCATGGACTTGCATGGCATGACTGTGAATATCTTCATTTCTCATTCCGCATCTTTGCATGTGTTTAGGCTTGGCTTGGGGCCTGTATAGAAATTGGGTTTTGAAACTTGATTGGGCTTGCATGTGACATTTTTGGGGGTGAAACAAAAATAGAAATTTAGGTTCGTAAAAATAAAACAAGATAGATAATTTAAAAACTAATTCTATTGTTAGCAAAAAAGAAAGATACAAAGAAATACAAAACTTTAACAAATTACAAAGTTGGAGGTGTGAATTAGATGTCCTTACCCTTAGAGTCCTTACCCTTAGAGGAAAAAACTCACCAACCTCACACATATAGATAAATTGTTAAAAATATGAGAATAAATTTAGGATTTCCCACTCTTTTAGACCATTTCCAACCCTTAGGTTAAAATCTAAATTTTTAGCTTAAAAAATTTAGGTTTTAACCCAGAATCAGCTTTTCCGCTCTAACTCTTCTGGGTTAAATTTTTAGCCCTAAATTGTTAAAGAATGAATTTAGGCTATTTAAAAATAAAAAAAAATTATGTAGACTACCTAGAATCAGCTTTTCCATTTCCACTTGCTTCTCAAAGGCCAAGCGCATTTAGACCATTTCTTCCTCTCGAGAGCTATGGCTTTTGATCAATTTTACAAATCCGGAAGGAATCGTTACACTAATTGGATCTTGCATCTTCTCTTTTCTCTTTGCTTCCTTTTGCTTATCTCTTCCCAGGGGCTTGCAAAAGAAGTTAGGGTTACCGAATTGACACATTCATTGTTATCATTTGTGCTTGTGGTTTCACTACCAAATAATTTTTCCCATTGTTGATAAGCATCGGTTCCCACCGTGGGACAATCCTTGAGGACGTCCCAAGCATGATGCAACTTAAAAGCTTGATTTTTAAGTGTAGTTCTTGTCTTGTATATCGCCATTGCTTTGTCACTCTATGCAAAGAATACATAAATACAATTAGTTGCAAAACAAGATTACGTACATGACAAATAAAATATCAACAAAGACACTCACCACTTCTATGGCGCTCTTTCCACTAGCCATGTCAACCACGGCTCTCTCCAAACTTCCCTTCCATAAACCTTCCACCGATCGTAAACACTACTAACTTCCATTCGATTGGCATTGGTGAACTTATCAACGATTTTATCCCACACAACCTTTTTATTTGGATTCGTGCCAACGGCACCATCTTCGCTAATACAAACACATGCCAAGCACAAAGGATCTTCTTCCTTATATGACCAATTACGACCTTTAATATGATCTTTTGCCATCTTGAAAATTTTGGAAATGGGAAGAAATAGTTTTGGAAGATGGTAGAAAGAAAAATTGGAAGAATTGTAGGAGAAAAGTGAGTTTTGTGTGAATGTTTGAACAAATACATAGGTATTTATAGAGTTTTTGGGTGAATTTGGAGTAAAATAATTTTTTTTATTACAATTTTAGCCGCTAGATTTAAATTTGGGTCGTTAAATCTTTTTTTTTTTTTTTTTACTGTTAGATTTGATCTTAGTTGTTAGATTCAATAACTTTATAAATATAAAACTAAAAAAAAAAAGAAAAGAAACTTGAACCTAGATCGTTGAATCAACCAATGGGCCAATTAATCATGGCCATCAGATGACAAAAGTAGCCGTTGGGCTAAGGCCAACAGACCCACGTGTGTGGTACCCGCCGATTGGTGTGGCACGTCTAGTGCTGCGCGATGGGAAAAATCGGGGCTTGTCACCGCACATGTGGCGGGCCCTCCACTAACCCAGTCTGATTTTTTGGTCTGTATTTGGCCCAATTTCCAGTTCTAACCCATAATCCGAATTTGGCCCAAGGGTTGGAACGAAATGGGGGAATAAAAGCTAAATTTTGAGACTTATTCCAAGAGTTAAGGTTAGTCTTAAAGATAGCCATCAATTTAAATAGTAAATAAGAGAAAAAGAAAAAGAAAAGCACCACCAGGCACCAAAATAGCAAAGATAAAAACAGCAAAAGCTCTCTCTCTCCCTTTACCAACTTAGTTTAGCAGCTGCTATATCTCTGACCACCCTAGCTATAAGTCCATAACTTTTCTTTCTTTCTTTCCATGGCTCCACTCTCACTCTCCAACCAGCACCCATTAATCTCCTCTCTCTTCTCCTCACACCCATTGTCATAGTGATGGATATGCTTGGAATTCTGGCGGTGGACGGAGCAAATTCTCCGACGTCTTCCAGCACAACATGGTGTGTGGCTAGGAGTGATGCGAGCACACAGGCTCTTCAGACAGCCTTGGACTATGCATGCGGAGCTGGAGCGGACTGTTCTCCAATCCAATCCGACGGACTATGTTATCTCCCAAACACCATCCAAGCTCATGCCTCTTATGCCTTCGACAGTTATTACCAGCGCCAGGCTAAGGCCCCTGGTTCTTGCGGCTTCTCCGGCACTGCCACCATTGCCCAAACAGACCCCAGTGTGTCATTCATTTCTCTCTTCTTTTTTCAAGCCCCCACCCAGAAAAACAATAAGAAAAATATTTTTTTTTCTTTATTTTGTAGAAAAAAAACCCATCATTTTATTTTTAATAATTGTTTTTTGGTTTTTTTTTTTTGGTTAAGTGATGGGGACTAATTTGTTTATTATTGTTAATTTTCTTTGTATAGGTTATGGATCTTGCGTGTACCCATCTTCTACAAGGTATGTTGCTCTTGCCCCTTCTTTTAATTTCTTTTACCAAAAAATATAGTCTTAGATTTTATTCCTAGGATGCACTATTTCAGTGGATGACTAAATTTATGTGTTTTAATCTAAACGTTACAATCTAGCTGTATATTAACAATTGAATCTCATAAACCAATGTAATGTATGAATTTCTAGTTTAGTTTGAGTACATTTCTTCATTGAATGTTTTGATAATTTGATATGGTGATTGAAATTAAGTTTCTTCATGTTCACGCAATTGGATCTTTCTCTTTTTCTTCGTTAGAAATTTTAGGAGATTAGAAAATAAAGACATGGCTTTATATGATGAATATTGAGAAGAAAAACACTTTGTAGAAAACCATTCTCTTCTCTTTGGTTGCTGTAATTCTTTGTACTGAAGGAATCCTGACAAAAGAGAAACAACATAAAATAGAAACTTTGTGTCTTTCGGGTGAAACTTCTTATGGACGATTGACACGTCGCTTTCTGCATGGGATGTTGTTACTGACACTTATCGTCCGTTTTTAACGATAAATTTATTGCTGTTAGTCGTTTCACAATTTTTCTCTCTTCTAAACACAATTGTGTATTATAACTCTATTTGTTGATTTTTTGTTTAAATTATTTTTCTGGGTGCATGCTTGACTAAGAAATTGGACTAGTATTTTGGTTCTGAAATCAGACTTCACCTTAATTTCCCACCGTCGGATTTGTCCTCAGTTACAACCAAACCAATGGTCAAGAATACATGCGGTGGTACACTTGGTTGCCTTTTTTATGGGCAGCGTGATTGGCATATGCACCTATTTTGGTGTAATGTAATTATGCACGAAGTAGGATTCTCTCCTCTTCTATTTCTATATTCTTCTCTCTTCTCTTCTTACATTTTGTGTCACATCTTTGCCTGAGCCCCCATCACATCCCAAGCTCTGACCACGCCCTCACGGTTTTGTTTCTGAAAACTCACACAAGAACTTCTCAATGGATCACCCATCCTGGATTGCTCTCGCGCGAAGTCGCTTAACTTCGGAGTTCCTATGGAACCCGAAGCCAGTGAGCTCTCAAAATGCCTCGTGCTAGGTAGAGATGGGAATATACATATAAGGCTTACAGGATCCTCACCCTTGGGCGATGTGGGATCTTACAATCCACCCCCATTAGGGGCCTAACATCCTCGTCGGCACACTTCCGGCTAAGGATTGGCTCTGATACCAATTGTCACATCCTGGCTCGGCTCCTCACCATATCCCGAGCTCGACTCCACTGTAGCACGATATTGTCCATTTTGAGCCCCCAACCACGTCCTCACAGTTTTGTTTCTAGGAACTTACACGAGAACTTCCCAGTGGGTCACTCGTCCTGGGATTGCTCTCGCGCAAACTCGCTTAACTTCGGAGTTCTTACGGAACTCGAAGCTAGTGAGCTCCCAAAAGGCCTCGTGTTAGGTAGAGATAGGAATATACATATAAGGCTTACAGGATCCTCACTCCTTGGCGATGTGGGATCTTACATTTTGTTTTTTGTCTTTTTATTTTTATAAAAAATTAATATAAAATGTTGACGTGACTTAATCGTTGCGATTCAAATAAGATATAAGAGATGAAAAGAGAGATAAGAAAGGGAGAATCCTCCTCCGTTATGCACTTTTCTTATCACTATGCTCTCTGTCTGGTTCATGTTCTGCTTTCTTCACCAAACTTTGACCTTTTTGAACTTGGTTTTATTTTTTATATTTTTTTTTTTTTTGGTTGAAGACCTTGTTTTAATTTAAAATTATATTATACTCTAGTGTATCTTCGGTGTACCTCGAGTATCAAGATTTTTTGCTTTTCGTCATTAAATTCTTGATCAAGATTTTAACAACAAAAAATTCAAGTGTATAAAATATTTTGGAGCATACTAGAAAATCCCAATTTGATTTGTTTGAAATAAGATTTTCCTTATTTTTTTGGTATGTTATAAATACTGAAAGAACCAATTCATTGGAGAATTTGTATGATGGTATTGTTATGGTTTGTTCCATAAATTTCCCTACCAAAATATTCAATGGCAATAATGTAGTAGGATTTCAAATTTGATTATGTTTCACTTACAAATTGGATGTAGCCATGCTAACTACGGCAGTATGCTAAGTTCAAATCTCCTTTCGTTTGAACTAAAGAAAAAGATTGAAATAATGATTCACTTATAAATTCTATTTATCTTCTTAATGAAACATTTAATGTACTGTAATTACATTTTCTTAATCACTTGCTTAAGTAGTACATAGCGTTTATCATACATCGTACAGTCAAAAATTATTTTAAATATTTTTATTTAAAATTAAACACAAACAATACTTGACAAAAATTGATGGTACAATGTATAATAAACAAACATGAATCACTGATCCTAAGATCCTCGCTATCAGGATCCGGAGTTGGCTCATTTACCCTCCTAATTTTAAACACGGGCCCAAGATCAATTAACGGTCAAAAATTCAAACATGAAAAAGGAGGCTTGTGCATGTGGGCCATTGTCGAGTTTGGGACTGCATCTATATCTCACATGTAAATGTTCTTATTCTGTGTTAAGTGTTTTGACTGGTCATCTTTTGTGTTTTTTTATTTTATTGAATCAGCGATAGTATTTACATTAAGAAAATAGAAGAGTGGGTTAAACTTTAAATTGGCTTAGCCATTAAAATGCGATTCAACTTTGCCTTATAATTGTGCCTTATAATTCATGGAGATTTTGATTATGTGAGAAGAGAGTTTCTCTCTCTACAATTTAAGAATAACTTAACTTATAAAACATAGGTATACAATCACGTAGTGTCTATACCAATGATATAATAATACGTGAACAAAATCTTACTAATATTTTTATTCTATTTACACAGAATGCTACGGTGCACCAATGTCATATATATAAGTCATTTTACCTTTAGTTTTAGTGAAGATATTCCAAGCAAGCATGATCTCAAAAGTTGAAATGTCCCACCTAGTGGTCCCATGCTCGTCCATTTAGCAGTGCACTTTAGCCCTTTTTCTTTCCTTTGTGCAGCTAATTAAAATCCAGAATGCTTTTTTAACCCTAAGTTACGGTCTTTTGTTCGACACTCAATTATTTTTTTAACCACACTGCGTTATGCTATTGCAAATTCGCAGCGCGGCGGGAGGGACAACTTCACCTTCCACACCACCAACAGTTCCAAATGTACAAACGCCGACATCGACATTCACACCACCCTTCTCAGGTGGACTCACTCCCGGTGGATTCACTCCCGGATCGACCTCGATGATCCCTGACGATAACTCCAACGCATCCCTCGACTCCATGTCCCCAACAATCTTGATGCCCATCTCCCTTGTGCTTGTTCTTTTATGTGCCTAAAGTTAAAGCCCCAGTGTAGGTCGTTTATTTTATTTATTTTTATTTTCTAGATAATTACAGCAACAACATTGCCCTAATGCGGAAAAGAGGTTATACATTTTTTGTTAGAAGTTGGAACATTCGTTGTCTCATTTTTTCGCAGTGAGGTTACATGCATTAAGTAAAATAACGTTGGTTACATTCACGATGTGTTGAAAGATAACTCGGCTAGGGTTTAGAAATATGGAGTCTGGGAATTAACTTTGAATACTTTCTTATTAATTCACAGTTGAAAATACAAGACTTATATAATACAAAGAAGTCTATTCTAGGAAGGAAACAAAGATGATTTACATTGATTCATATGGATCAATTCTACTCCTAATATCAAGGGGACGATATTGTCGTCCAATACTCCCCCTCAAGGTGGAGTGTGAATGTCAAGAACACCCATCTTGCCAAGTAGAGAACGGAATGCTGACTGTCCAAGTGGCTTGGTGAATATGTCGGCAAGCTGCTGTCCAGTAGGTACATAGGCTGTTGAAATAATCCCAGAACGCAGTCGTTCTCGAACAACATGGCAGTCGATCTCTATGTGTTTGGTGCGTTCGTGAAAAACGGGATTGGCAGCTATGTGAAGTGCAGCTTGGTTGTCACAGTGTAACCTTGCCGGACCCTTGTGATCAATTTGCAGATCAGCCAATAGGTACTTCATCCACGTAAGCTCACATGTAGCTGAAGCCATGGCACGATACTCCGCTTCAGCTGAGGATCTCGAAACGGTAGATTGTTTCTTGGTTTTCCAAGAAACTAGTGCACCTCCAAGAAATATACAATAGCCTGTGACAGATCTTCTTGTAAGTGGACAGCGAGCCCAATCGGCGTCGCAATATCCTTTCAATGTCAAACTCCCATTCGAAGGAAAAAGAAGCCCTTGTCCAAGTGATCCCTTTAAGTATCGTAGAAGACGATGCACTGCGTCTAGATGAGGCTTTCTTGGTTGTTGCATAAATTGGCTGAGTATATGGACCGAGTATGAAATCTCCGGCCTCATGATTGTGAGATAAATAAGTTTCCCAACAAGCCTCCTGTATTGCGAGGCATTATGGAGAAGTTGCCCGTCCATTGGAGATAATCTCAAGTTTTCTTCCATTGGGAACTTTGCAGGCTTTGCACCAAGTAAGCCGGCCTCATCAATAATGTCAAGTGTATATTTACGTTGTGAGATGGCGATTCCTTGAGAAGACCGAGCCACCTCCACACCGAGGAAATACTTTAAGTGTCCAAGGTCCTTAATGCGAAAATGGGATTGAAGAAATTGCTTGAGGTCACCATGAAGGAAGGCATTATGGACATCCATTTGATGTAAGGACCAATGACGAACCGAAGCAACGGCTAATAAACAACGGACGGTGATGAGTTTGGCAACAGGAGCAAAAGTTTCCTTGTAATCGATACCTTCGCGTTGAGTAAAACCTTTGGCCACAAGACGAGCTTTATAATGCTCGACGGTACCATCGGAGTGGTACTTGATTTTGTATACCCATTTGCAACTGATGGCGCGATGACCAGGAGGTAAGGTAGTGAGAGTCCAGGTGTTGTTTTGTTCAAGGGCCAGAAGCTCAGAGTCCATGGCAGCACGCCATTGAGGATCACCGTTAGTGTTGGAAATGTGCCCTAAAACCAATCATATGATGATACTTTACGGACATTTCAAACTAATGTAGTTTAAATGTAAAGGGCAAAGATTATTGTTTGAGCCGTCTCATATAAATGTTATATGCTTAAACGATAAGTCCAAGGAATATGTGATTGGAAGAATGCGATCTAAAGAAGTTAGATTCATGAGACCATTCTTTCGTTGACACATCCTAAACGTTCCTGATCATAGGATTGTCAATTGGGCATTGACAGTCCGTTAAGATCAGTACGTGCTATGTCTTCTCTCAGGGAGAGTGACTAGTCTCGAGTCATTGGTGTGTGTGACATCAAG